AACTAGTTCTCCCTTCTTTAATAAGCTAAGCTTCTATAGAAGTTGGAGCATGTTATTAATGTTACCAGTTTCAAAAAAAAAAAGTTGGAGCATGCCATTCAGAACAGGGTCCAACTGGTTAGTGGTCTCAACTTTCAAGTCTGAGTCTCACTGCTACCTGTGATACCATACAAAAAAATTAGCTTTCCCATATGCTGGATTACAGATTACTGAACACCTAATTAGATAAACAAGCAGCTCTCCTCTTTGACAATATCTTACAGAATAGGTGGAGGTCATTGTGCAACAAACTTATAAAAGAACAAGTAGAATGATCTTAACCTTTTTTTGATTGTATTTTGGCTTTATTCTTGGTCTCTGTGTCTATAACGTTAAATTTCAGTGCAGGGGTTGATAGCTAGCAAGTTTACACCAAACATTTATGTCTTCAACAGCCTCATGAATGTAAATGCATGTGACTTGAGTTACACCTTGGACATATACAAGCAAATGCAAGTAAGCTTTCTCTTACCCTCTTCCTTCCACACCACAAAGCACACATGCACAGCATTGACAAGTGTCACCCGCGCACAGAAAAAACAGTAGGTGAGGAATGGATGCTTTTTAGACTTTACCTCTGGTTTAGTTCCATTAGGGGAAGTATTTGTTGTTCTTTCATTTGGTGAAGTTTCCATCGTTAACATCCAGTTGTTCTCTAGCTGTTCGCACAACCAAAAAGGAAGTCTGTCTTACTTCTTCTTCCATTAAATTCCATAGGGTTTGGAAAGCTGAGATGGACTGCCGCGTAGCACTCTTTTGTTTGATAAGGAGAATAACCCATTTTATCCTCCAATTCCTTTCCCTTTTCATCCCAAACAAAATCCCATGTATGATCTGAAGTTAGTTTTCTGCTGGCACAGTGTGAATCTTGTTTTAATCTTCAATATGTTTCTCAGTGCATCTACATTAGTGAAGCTTGGCTTATTTTCCCATTTCCGCTCTCTTTTGTGATTTGTAGTTGGGAATTGGATCTTGTTTCTTTTTCACCATTTATGTAGAATTGTAATCTTGTTAGCCCGAAAATACTGATGATGAGCATTTTTATTCACTTAGTTTCTTTTAATTCAGAAACTAGGTGTTCCGGCTGACTTGACATCTTACAATATCCTTCTGAAGTCATGTTGTCTTGCTACAAGAGTTGATCTGGCCAAAGAAATTTATGGGGAGCTAAAGCATTTAGAAATGGCAGGAGCATTGAAATTGGATGTCTTCACGTACAGCACTTTAATTAAGGTATAACTTGGGTCTTCAAGTCTAACAAAGAATCATGCGGACCATCTAAAAACTTGTGATGGAATTTATGCATGATGTCTCCCACAACTACGACAAAAAACTGTGAATTCTCAATTTATTCTTTCTGCAGTATAAAACTTGATATGTCATAGGGCATCTCTGACTGAATTTTACACTTTAGTATATGGTAATAGAGGTAAAGAGCTTATGTAGAATAATAGTAAAGAAAATATATTTTTTTGTACATGAATACGGAAATTAGATTACACATTTACTGGTTTAACTATCTTCGAATTATTTCTCACATCCAGGTAATGCTGTCATGTGATACTTTGTGATTACAGCCATTATATCCGACATCATTACATAGTGAATATGATGTAGAAAACACTAAGAAATTTTTAATATCAATTATTTTTGGTGTGAGGAGAAAGCATCATGTCGTATTGATGGTTGGTCAAACTTGGTGGAAGGCAATCTATGATTTAAGCAGTGCCACACACATCTTGCACATTTTTTTAACACTGACTTGGTGTTAATTAATGGTACTTCTTGGCTTATCCCTCCAAAAAAAGTACATATTCATGTCCCGTCTTGATTATATAGGTATTTGCAGATGCAAAAATGTGGCAGATGGCACTTGAAATAAAAAAAGATATGCTATCGGCTGGTGTCACTCCCAACATTGTCACTTGGTCTTCATTGATCAGCGCCTGTGCCAATGCAGGCGTGGTAGACCAAGCTATTCAGTTATTTGAAGAGATGCTTCAGGCTGGTTGCGAACCTAATTCACAATGTTACAACATTCTTCTTCATGCGTGTGTTGAAGCCTGCCAATATGATAGGGCCTTTCGGTTATTCAGGTCCTGGAAGGAAAATGCACTGCAGAAGGACAAGTGTGAAGATTACGGTGGCAAGACGGACAACAATATTGATCTCTCCCCCACACTTGTGGTTTCTGCTAGTATACCCACCCGCACTTCTGCTTCCTCTCACAGACATATCTCTACGAGGGTTCCATTTATCCCTACTACTTCTACCTATAATATTCTGATGAAGGCCTGTGGGAGTGATTACTACCGAGCGAAAGCTTTGATGGAAGAGATGAAGGAAGTAGGTCTTTCTCCTAACCATATAACCTGGACTATTTTGATTGACATCTGTGGAGGCTCAGGAAATGTAGAGGGTGCTCTGCAGGTAATGTTGTCTACTTAATTTGAGATCATACACATTACATTAAAAAACAAAACAAGTTCTTCTGTATAAAGTACTATAAACTATTAATACTGCAGTAAGAGGATTACTTGATGTTCACCACTGACCCTAGGGATTTCTCAGTTATCGAAAAAAAGAGAGAAGAAATATGTAAATAATGAAGATGATCTGTGAAAATACTAAACAGAATGGTCACGCGCAAAGTGCAAAACTTCTTTCCTCAATTTTTCTTTTTTAAGTTTTTCTTATGTGCACAACTTATAAAGAATAGATAGAAAATGTGTGGTCTCATAAAAACTTTGTATGAAAAATGCAGTTTTTCATAGGAAAAGTTTTTTTTTTGCAATCTGAATTATAACTATTTCATGGAAATGCAGATTTTGAGAGTCATGCGAGAGGCTGGTATTCAACCTGACGTGGTAACCTATACAACAATTATCAAGGTTGTATGATTGGCATATTAATTCGTGAACACTTTAGATGATGCATAGTCAAATATGATTGATTCATATATTGTTTATTCCTCTTCACTTTACAGGTTTGCGTGGAAAATAAAGATTTCAAGAGTGCATTTTCATTATTTGCAGCAATGAAGAGATATCAGATAAAACCAAATATGGTGAGTTAATTAGTTAAGCTTGCACTTCAAATGTCATCGATAAAATTTCCTCATAAAATTATTTGAATGTTTTTTTTATTTACACCCTTTGCATCGAAATGACATTTTTAATAGAACAAGTGTGATTTGGTACGTAGGTGCTTACATGTCACTTGGATCAGAGTTATAACCTCTTTAACATTTTGTAGGTCACATATAATACACTTCTTAGAGCTCGTAGCCGATATGGATCTTTGCAGGAGGTACAACAATGCTTAGCTATATATCAAGATATGCGGAAAGCAGGGTATGTAACTTGAAATCTTTTAGGCATAATGCTCCTCTTCTTATATTTGCTCCCGATATAAAGAAATAAGGTACTCTATTCCGTTACATATTGTGGAGCAGATCTGGTATCGTTCTTGAACTCTTGAATAACGTCAATAGATATTAGATAAATAGATTCCCACAATCTCACAGAGAGCTAGTCGTGGTGTAAAATGTAAATGCATCAATCTCTCTAGAGATGGAATCATAAAAGAACACTAATGAGTGCACCAGGGTTTCCTTTGATCCATCACTTCACACTGACTTAATAACACAAGAACTCCATAACCTTCTTTTTTGTCGTCTAAAGCCTTAGATAACTGGACGACTGAATACTTGCAACAAATAACCTAATAACAAAGACAAGACTCAAATATATTAAAGACTCGATAGCTTCCTCCAAACAAAACTCCAAATTCAAGAATTCTAATTGACCACCTCCATGATAATTATGAGTTAGAGGACTCTCCTCCTCTTCTAGCTCAGGGACGTATTTACCTTTTCTTTCCTTTTTTAACTTTGTCCAACCGTGACTTGAATACCATGTACTGCTCCAACATGTGTTTGTTTGTATAGCTGAGCGAGGGCGCTCTATTTCTTTCTCTTCCAATGCTTGTTCTTCTTTCTTTATGAAGATCATCAAATGCCTCAAACACATTTGATTTTCCCACATCAGCGTGATTACCTTGGCGATTGTCTAGTATCAATTCAAGAAATTTATCAGCTATGTTTTCTATACTTGTATAGCCACAAGAATATGGCCTTCCACTTGGTGAAAAGAATAGCACACCAACATTCTGCTCTGGTCAGAGTTGAATACTCATCTGCTTTCTTGAACAAGCCTTTTTTTTCTATTCGAGAAAGTAAAAGTGTGTGTTTCCTTGAACTCAATCAACTTCGTTACAATCTTTTGCCTACCCTTCGTTTTATCCATTGCAAAAACAAATAATTAAAGAAAATAAGATGTATTGGCTGAATAAGCCTGAACAATTTTGACAGGAATGCTTGTGTAATTTAAAATTAACTGTGGTCTTTTTCCCTTTGTGACGGGTTAAATGGGCAACAGAGCCTGTTCCGTACAAAGCAAAAAGAACAATGCAGTAAGACGGTGGAAATCATAAGAATTTGAGGAAGTAAACAAAGGAAAGAAAAGCTGTTCATCTTGAAGCAGTAATGATCATCTTCATAGGCCATTTTTCTAGTGCAGACTCACTCCTTGTATAGTAGTATCAAGAGAGTTCATCCTGATCACGCTACGGAAATCCAATATGGCTTATTGAACCACAACATAGTTCCCAAAAAGTATCTTTTAACGCTTAGGTCGTCTATGACTATACTTTTCCCATCAAGTTGGCTTGAAAAACATTATCAAGGGGCTTGGTGTCTGTGGAGCTTTTGACTTTGGAATTCAGTTCGTTAATTTCCATTTTGGGTGTGCATGTGGAGTGTTGATTTGTGAATGTGCGATTCAAGGGGGTCTTGGGATAAAATAGACATGCATCAGAGGTAAGTATGTGACAACCATGCTTTGGGAGGTGTAGTGAAGGATTTTGAGACAACAATCCCCTGTTGGGACGTTTTAGTTTACTTTTTTTTTTTTTTTTACTAAGAAATCAAGGAAATTTCCAGTTTATATCATAAAGATTGCAGGTACAAACCCAACGATTACTATCTCAAGCAATTAATTGAGCAGTGGTGTGAAGGCGTAATACAGAATGCCAATCAGAGGAAATACAACTTCAGCACTCGTAATAGAACTGATTTAGGGCCTCAAAGTATGATTCTGGAGAAAGTTGCAGAACACTTGCAGAAGGACAGTGCAAACAGCATCTCCATTAATCTCCGAGGGCTTACTAAGGTAAAGATTGTATCGAGCTATATATTCACAATCTCTTGTACACAACCATCTGATCATCAACTTGTTTTTTTGCATACTGACAGGTTGAAGCTAGGATTGTGGTTCTTGCGGTTTTGAGAATGATCAGAGAGAAGTACACTGCAGGTGAGAAAATGGTTGAACTTATAAAACGTCTACAATTTGATTGGGGGAATGGTGCATTTCAACATTACTAACGATCCATATAGTACAAACATGCATTGCATTACAATCAATTTAAATACATTGTGGTTATCGTTGCAGGAGATTCAATCAAAGATGATGTGCAAATCTTTCTAGGAGTCAAAGAAGTAGGTATACGTGCTGTCAAACAAGAAAGTGTCGTTAAGGAAGCAATAATACAACTATTGCAACATGATTTGGGACTTGAGGTAATTTCAGCAGCATCAACAATTGGAAATGGGATAAACCATCCAGACAACAAGCATTCAAACATGGAAGAAAATGCAGAAAGAGTCATTCTACGACCAAGCGTGTACTCTCCAACAAGGAAACCAGTGGTTTTGCAAAAAATGAGGATAACTAAGGAGTCACTGCAATCCTGGCTAACAAGAAGGTTAGATGCTTCTGTAGTGCAATGATATACGAAACATGATATGTATAGATTTATACGAACTCTTTCTTTTCGTAGAGTTCTTTCATCCCTTTAACAGCCGAATAAACACTGTATATTCAATGATATACCACATGCTAAAAACTTCACATTTTACCATCAAATGTAAACAAAAGTAACAAAAGAAAATGATGTGTTCTTATTCTCGCACAATATATGTAGCTGCTTCATAACATTCCAATATTCTTGCATCATCGTGGATCAAAGAAAGCATCCTATCACAACTACACAACGGAAAAGACATGATATCTGCAAATCTTAACCTTACCTTTGTGGGGTAGAGAGGTTGTTTTCGGAAAGCATCCTGTAGCAACATATCCATCATAATCCCACAAGTCATCACAAGTAGGGCCTAGAGAGATAGGACGTACCCAAAAGTTATCCCCACCTTTGTGGGGTAGAGAGGTTGTTTCGGGAAAGCATCCTGTAACAAAACAACATATTCACTATAATCCCACAAGTCACATATAGGGTCTAGAGAGATAGGACGCACTCAAAAGTTATCACTACCTTTGTGGGGTAGAGAGGTCGACTCAAAAAAAGTGCAATCAAACCAATCCACTCAAAATCATAAGAACGAAGATACGTTAACACAACAAGACGCTCCCCATAAAAATACAGTAAACGAGATACAAGATATGCATTTAACTTTAGGCATAAATTAATACGATAAGATTGAAGTAGTTAAACAACAAGATTTGATTTTCATAGCCAATCTTGTTCTTGCAGCTTCAATGGCAAATATACTTCGGACAGATACTGAAATCCAAACGAACTCAACGCCTGAATCTCAGCCTTTTGCTTAGTCTTCACCATCAAATTCAACTCCTCAACCCACGCGGGATTCTTCTTCACAAAGTCCTCCTCCAACAAATCTTTCCCAGTCTTAATATCCTGTTCAGTCATTGGCAACCTACATTGCTCCGGTATCTTATACTTGTCCAAATCACTCGGTCTAATACCCAACCACTTGATATCCGGGGTAGTCAGATTCGCACTATCATATGACATATTCTTCGATCCACATCCGTACACTGACAAAATCTTCAACCCATAAGGATCACTATCCACCAATGCCAAAACCGGCAAATTCAGCTCCATCTTCATCTTCCTCAGAAACAACCTAGTTGCCACATCCGGTTGACCCTTTGCAGTCACGATTATACAAGGAAATCTATTGTAAAACCGATCTTCAGACAATCTCATAAACGCAGCATCCTTTTCGACTAACAATATGTACAATGCATCACTCTGCATATCACCAACTCTATCGATATTCGGAGGTATAGCTTTCCCTCCCATTCCCATTTTCGTACAATCAATCATATCGCCATTGTCACTAAAAATCAACCTTCCAACTACAACTCCTTTCTCAGCTGCAACCACATTCAAACTAGACCTAGTACATCCAACTATACACGAAACATCATCTAATACAGCATCAGACTGCGTCTGATCCTGAAACAACTTAACGTCGGTGTAGAAAAGATCACGCTTTGTGACATGAATGTTACTGGTGCAAAGCTGATGAACAAGCTGAAGGATTCTAAGAGTAATTGTTGCTTTACGAACAGTAGATACATTACCGAAGTTGCGAGCCGATGATTTGTCTTTGAGAACAATGCGGTCGAGTTCGGAGACATAGAGTTGGTTAGCGGCAGCGCGGGAAGGGACGGAGAAAGAGAAACCTTCACCGGAGAGTATGGATTTAGCTATAGTAAACGCTAACGATTCAATTTCGGACTGTACCTCATCGATTGGGAGGTCGGCGACTTCACGGCAGGTAGAGGAGAGGCCGACGTCGGAGAGGGATAGGGTTTTGGAAGTGGTGGAACAGGAGGATTTGAGTGCTTTTAGGGTTTGGAGGATGACGGAGTCGGGTTTGAGCTTGGATTGGAAAGGCCGGCTTTCGGAGTCGGAATCGGAGTCGTGAGCTGCTCGCCGGCGTTTCTTCTTGTCGGCCATCGGCGACGGGGATTAGGTGAAGCGGGAAATGACAATAAATGTGAGGATAGGTACTGTAGTGCTTAGGGCTTTGGTTAAAGTAAAGAAAATGGCAAAAATGGTCCCTAAAGTTCGGTATATGTCCAAAATAATCTCTTAAATATATTCTCGAATAATTTTCTGTCTTCGTTTCAAAAAGAATGTCTCTATTTTCTTTTTAGTTTGTTTTAAAAATAAGTCGAAAATTGATTCTTCCTGGGTCGATGCCCGAGGGGTTAATGGGGACGGACTGTAAATTCATTCGCAATATGTGTACGCGAATTTTCCCTTTTTTTTTTTGCAACACTTTAACTTTAACTTTCCACGTGACATGTTTAAGACCACAAGATTAAAGTGCATTTTGATACATTTGACATAACTTTAATTTAGACCACAAGATTAAAATTTCTTATTTCTTTTTTTAAACTCCGTTCCAAGTCAAACTAGGTCATCCTTTTTTAAACGAAAATAGTAGTTCATTTCAATTTATCAAATACTATCGTGCATCGAACTATCCTTTTTAATATTTGGGACAATAACAACAATAACAAAATATTTAGTATAATTTCACAAATAGAACATGAGGAGGGTAGATACAAATCACATCACTAAGACTATATAGTGTGTATACACATTAACCATTAAAGGGGTAGAGAAAATGATGCATATATTAATCACCAAATTATATAAAAGTTGCTCATTCTTCACTCTCACGATGTGATGACAAATTTAAACGATATATACTTTTCTCCATATTTATAAACCAGTTTATCTATTTGAGATGTCTTCATGTGTAGATTTGTTCTTTTCTTCGCAAATAAAGAGTTAGCTTGTTATTAATTTACTTCATTATAGTGACATTACACACAATTAAAAATAAAATACAAATGGTATTATATACTTATAAACAATAAAAATATCGTGTCTAGATACAGATTCAGCTAACTCAAGCAGTTTCTTTTCTTAAAACGAATTAATTTAGAAAGTTCATTAAATATGTACCGTATTACATTTAGGACTCAATTATCAATACTTAAAGCCATTTTCCTAAAATAGAAGCTATAGAATTAAAATTCCGACTCCACCTTGAACAACAATAAACTCCTCCTCCGTAAAAACTCTAACCAATGTAATAAAACAAGGGATGCATCTTGATTTTCTTTGCAACAAACATTTAAGATTTCTTTTATATCATATAGCACGAGAGAAAAGACATAAAGACACCATCAAAATTGTTTCGTATTTGCATAAAGAAGTGTCCTATTACCCCCACAGTGTCCTATCACCCCACCAAATTATTTAATATCTTTGTAAATGGATTATTTTGACCTCCTTATTTTGATTGGAAGAAGATGAAGAGGGTTTCATGCTAGGACAGATACAAGGATGGTAAGAATTGTAACAATGTGAGGGCGTTTTATAATAGGGAGGAACAAACCAGGACTTTCCTATATTCACAAGGATTTTGAATAGCTATTGGCCCAATATGTTTTGGACTTGGTTTACATTGTTATTTTGAAAACGGGAAACTTTCACATATAGCACTAAAAAATCTCTTCATAGCTATAGTTTGATAAATTATCATTTGTAGCTACATGTTATACGGAGAAAAGAGACGAGCGAGAATTGGATAGAGCTGAATTGTATATCTATATTGGTTAAATTAATGTATATTATACATATGCATTTTACCAACTTGGTGTATACAATGTGTGCCCAATAAAACAAATAACATAAAGTTCTTATTGATTGAAATAAAGGAAAGAAAACAAATACTAAATTGCAAAAAAAAAACAACAAAAAGAAATAAATTACTGAACCTATAGCTCCTCATTCACAGTGATGGTATTACCCAAGTTGGCGGACAAATACAACTTAGCGATAATTCAGGATAAAAAGATTCAAGATTGTAACATCCCATATCTTTTCCACCACCACATTTCAACGAGAAGTTATGCTCATCCCAATCATCGGTAAAATATATGTGATTACGCTTAATCATTTGGTGGAATCGATGGAAGTTGCTCCGTTAAGACCCAAAAAAATGGTTGAATCTCCCGAGTTATCAATCCGTTTCAATCTACACTTCATTTCATCTACTTCACATTTGCAAGTATCTATTGAACCATCATCTTCTGAACGATATCTACCAAATTTGGCAACAAACAAGAGCACATCGTTTACCCCAGCTAGATAGTACTGAATTGAATGTCGAAATAAGTCTTTGTTATCGTTAAGATAAATCAATCGCGACTCTACGCGTCTATCATGACTTTGGACATCAACAACGAATATTTCAGCTCCCCAAGTAAGAAGATAAAATTTGCCATTGTAGTAAGTCATATTGCACACTCCACCATGTCTTGGTCTTATATCCATGTCAAACAAAGTCCAATTGATATCTCCAGGTAACCAATAAGCCAAATGATTAACATCTGTGTTATATGAAATTACGACTACATAATCAGATGTAACAGATGGATTTGCAGATAGCGTTGCCCGTTTGATGTAGCGATAGAACTCGGGTTCTTCAATTAAGAAGTCGTCAGGACTCTGTAAAGCTATTAACGCGAATTGATTAGGAAGATGAATTTTGGTAGCCGAAAAAGGATTGAACAAATATACCTCTTCTCCTTCTCCGTCTAATGATTGGATTAGAAGCCATCCCATTTGATCAGTTGGAAAACAATCCTGCCCTCTAAGATCAGGAAGATATAATCTCCGCGAAACTTTACCTTTGGAAAGAGAGGAAAATTCTCGATAATAAGTATTTTCATCGTCATCGGGAAGCATTAGCAGAGGAAGTTGAGGAGAAAGCATATCGAAATTGTCCTTGGTAGAAGCTATTCGCCATGAATTACAAACACAACTGAAAGCAACGAAATCTTCAATCACTTTAACACGATTCGCAATCAGAACAAGGAGGTCATGGGGCAATCCTGCCCAATCCGCCATAGCTTAGTAGATTGGAAGAAGATGAAGAGCTTATATATATATATATATATATATATATTATTTATAAATAAAATAATTGATTTAAGTATTTTAACTTTACACTTTTTTCAAATTCAACATTTAAATTTTAGCTTAACTATTACAATCTCTGGTCCAAGTCTATCAAAATTCATTATTTTAGTTTTTACCTACCCTACCTCACGTAAAATAGTCACATTGTTATTTTGAGAACGGGAAACTTTCACATATAGCATTAAAAGATCTCTTCATAGCTATAGTTGGCCCACATAATTAATGTATAATGTTAGTCGTGAGTAGTAATTATAACAAACTATATCTATATGTACAATTATTTTTGTATGTTATAACTATAGTTTGCATAATTATGTTTTATAACAAATTTTATGTTTGCTATGAAGCCTTAGATATGTATAAAAATCACAGGCAACTCTAATTTGTATAAAATCTCAGGCATTTGATTTGTATATATCACAACGATTTGTATAAAATCGGGCGTTTGTGTCTATGAAAATTGTGTTTGTATCATGTATATGTTCTTTGTGTGTGTATATCTGCATAAAATTTGAGTTCATATACAATTGAATCGAATGAAAATAGTTGTATTTGTATATCAAATCTCTATCGCTCTCGCTTTATACAAAAATAAATTATACATTGTATTTTGTATAATTTGTGTTTGCATAAAACGCGAAGAGAACTGGGCAAGATAAGATTTGTAATGTATAATTATAAGTGTACAAGATGAAGAAATATGTATTGTATTAATATATATATACAATTTTCTCTCGCTTTATACAAACATAAAACACAATTTATATATTCGTGATTGTATAAAGTGAGAGAGACAAACGAAATCAAAGAGAGTAACGGTGAAGATATCACGAGAGAGAGGCCAATAACAAACTATTTGCTACGAATTAGAATTAAACGAAATTCTTATTATAAAAGAAAAAAAGGAGAAAACATATTTTTAGTGACTATATTTTACCCTTCTAACCCATTGTTAGCAAATTCCGTAAAACACCTTCTCACACAGAGAACCCAATCTCCGCCTCCGGCCACACTCTTAATTTATCGTCCTAGGGTTTTCAGTCGCCGGAAAAGAAATTCGATTTTCCGACGAATCTATCGAGGTGATTGAGGATTTGGATGAGAATACAAGATGCCGCCAAAGCAATCTAAAGCCGATATTGCAAAGAAGCAGAAGGTAGTTGAAGACAAGACGTTCGGTCTTAAGAATAAGAACAAGTCGAAGAATGTTCAGAAATATGTTCAGTCTTTACAGCAAAATGTTGTGCCTAAAGCTGATCCTAAGAAACTTGACGCCAAGGTACCTGCTAATCTCCTTTTTTTATTTTTGGGTCTTCTTTTGGTTTTATGTTTTTTTTGGTGAATATTTAGAAATTGAATTGAGTGGAGAGGATTCATGTAGCTGACTCTAATTAGCCTTTTGATTTGAATGTAGTTGTGTTATTACTTTTATGTGATTTTTTCCGACAGATATGAAGGAAGAGGCAATGATATAACTATTCGAACTTAAATAGAGAACCGAGGATTCATATAGTTTAAAGCAATTAGCTTTTTGGATTGAGTAAGATTGCTTATTATTTTTGTGAGAGTTTTTCGATAGATATACTGGAGGCATATAGCTGTTTGAGCTCAAATAGAGTACTGAGGATTCATGTAGCTGAAGACAGTTAGCCTTTTGAGTTGTGTGTAGTTGTGTTATTAATTTTATGTGATTTTTCTATACAGGAGGCATATAGTGTTCAATTAGCTTTTTGATTTGAGTATAGTTGTGTTATTATTTTTGTGTAATTTTCCCGATAGATATACAGGAGGCATGTAGCTATTCGATCTCAAATAGAGTTTCGAGGATTTATGTAGCTGAAAGCAATTAACTTTTTGATTTGAGTATAATTGTGTTATTATTTTTTTTTCCCCGATAGTTATGCAGGTTGAGGCATATAGCTGTTTGAGCTCAAATAGAGCATCGAGGATTCATGTAACTGAAAGCAATTAGCTTTTTGATTTGAGGGTAGTTGTGTTATTATTTGTGTGATTTTTCTGATAGATATACAAGAGGCATATAGCTGACCTCAACTAGCTTGAATTTGAGGTGTAATTATGGTTCATTCTCGCATTGTGTTATTATGTATATAACTGATAGAGAGGACAATGTAGTCATGTAGCCGAGCGACTAGTTTGGATTGACACATACTTGTGTTTTGTTCTTTTTGTGTAATAGTTCTCCAACTGAAATAGGGCAGGTCGTTTCATTGTATATCCTATTCTAGTTAGATTCTGTTTGAGACATAGTTGTTTTTGTACAATACATACATTCCTCTGTTTTTAAGCCCAAACCGTGCAGGATGAATACAGACAAGTGGCATGTGTGGCTATTTCACGCCCGAGTGGATGAAATGAATATAGAAGATTATATAGTTAATCCTGTTGTTACATTATTTTTCTATGTTTTTTTTTGCATATACATTTATTGACATTTAAGCTTAATTTTGTCACAGAAAAAGAAGGAAGAAGAGAAAGCTAGAGAGAAAGAGCTTAGCGAATTGTTCAAAGTCGCTATTAGCCAACCTAAAGTGCCTCTAGGTATTCTTCTTCTTTTGATTGATTTCTGTGTTGTCTTATTTCTGTGTCTCAATATTTTTTTAGTATGAAGCAGCGTCAATGTTAAAAAGTCACTGCAGCTAGTTGGATTGAAACAATTGGGAATATAGTGTAGGAAGACTTCGGGGCAATTATCTGCTTTCTTCTATATCAAACTGGGTCTATTGAAGAATTACAAACTGGACCTTAAATCTTTTGCCAGTTTTTGTAAAATTGATAAACTTTTGATATTTTATTATGGAAATTCAAAATATATCTTAATAGTAGCTTGTTAATTTATTTCAAGAGACCCTTTTCATTGTTCATAGTTCATTATCATCCCCTTATCAGTAGTGCACCAAGGGTGTGACCTAGTGGTCAATTAAGTATGAATCATGAGTCTTAGACAGAAACACTAGGTGATTTTCTTCCATGTGTCCTAGCCTCTTAGGCTTGGTGGATAGAGGAGGTATCCTGTCTTTCCCCTTTCCAGAAATTCATAGCATTATTTTCTGTTCTTTATTGATAAATTATTCATTAGAACAGTTATTAGAAATGTGGAACTGGTTGAGGTAGGCGCAAGCTTCCCCGGCCACCATGTTATTTAAAAAATACTCTCTTATAGGTGGTAGTTTGTTTTATTTCACTTACTACAAACTCTCTCTTGCATTAAAGATTTGGTGTTATTTCAATCTTCATACAAAATGTTGCTGCAAAATTTATTATATATTTATGAATGCTGGGAATTTGTGTTCAGGTGTTGATCCAAAATCTATTTTATGTGAGTTCTTTAAGGCGGGGCAATGTGTTAAGGGTTTTAAGTGCAAGTTCTCTCACGATCTGAATGTTCAGCGAAAAGGAGAGAAGATTGATATTTTCAGCGATAAGCGTGATGAAGGTGGTTAAGCAACATTAACATTTGATATTTTGCATAAACTTTTCTTTCTCATGTGATAATATTTTACAATGGTTTTAGTGTTTATTGACTGGCATTTCTTGTCTAAAACAAGATGGAAAGGAAACAATGGACGATTGGGATCAAGAGACACTGGAGAAGGTTGTGGCGTCAAAAAGTCAAGAGTATAACAAGAACAAACCAACTGACATTGTAAGCGTTGTCCTTTTCCATAATATACCTTGTACAGTACATACTACACAATATTTTCTTATTGCTAGAGTTCAGTAGAAGTACCCTTTTTTCACAAAAAGATGGATCCCGGGGATTTTTTTCAATGGTAGCACACTAGCACAGTTCAATGTGTGTATTGTGAGTGTACATATAGTTTCAAAGCTTGCTGGACGAGCGCACATCATAATTTTGAACCTTGCCAGACATGATGAAACCCAAGTGGGAGAGCGGGAGAGGGATAGGTCCATGCTCCCCGCAGTGTCGAACAGGTTAAAATAGGACGACCTTGAATCTTGGTTGTGCAGAATGCATGCAATATTATTTTACATATTTGTGGACATTGGGAATTGGGAAATAAATTTCTGAGCTAGCCCTCCATTTAAGTGTACTTATTATTTTGATTTTCCATTGCATGGAGCATGGTATAATGATATGCATTTTATTGGTTGGACATTGTAACCATGACCATATTCCCTCATTTTGAGGTGTATTAATCTACTTCCATTTTTGTCTAAATTTATCACTTGAAAATTTGTATATTGTTGCAACAAATTACTACTCTATCCCAGTTTATTTGGCTTTCTTTTCTTTTCTGTTCTTCCCAAGAAAAAAGTTGCACCTTTCATCCCCAGAAACTATTGACTCATTACAACACTCATTTTCTGCTACTGTTGCCTTAACTGGATAGGAAACCAGGGTACTTTTGGCGTTTTATGCATATTTAGTGTATGTGTCTATAGTCTTAATTTCCCCCTTTAAAACTCCTCCTCCAGTCAAATATTGCCAAACATGAATGCAGTGCTCGTTTCATAAATCAAGCTTATGATTTGGTTTATATGCAGGTATGTAAATTCTTTTTGGATGCTGTGGAGAAAAAGCAGTACGGTTGGTTCTGGGCCTGTCCAAATGGTAAAGAATGCCATTACAGGCATGCACTTCCTCCTGGATATATTCTCAAGTCACAAATGAAAGCCTTGTTACAAGAGGAAGCTGACAAGATGCCTATTGAAGAAGAAATTGATCAACAGGTGACCACACTATCTTAGTTTTCATATTGCCAACTATTGATAGCCACTAAGTTTTTCTAAATATGCTCATTAGTTGAACAACTTTACATGTTCTCTGTTCTGCCTGCAGCGTGCAAAATTGACTGCTTCAACTCCCTTGACCACTGAATTATTTATGGAATGGAAAAAAAAGAAGACGGAAGAAAGAGAGGCCAATTTGGCCAAACAGAGGGCAGATAGAGCTAAGAATGATCGCATGAGGTATCATTCTTTGCACTCCTTTTTTCTCTAAACAATATGTGCTCATCAGTTGGGAAAAGCTCTTTTCGTGGACGCATATACTTATTGGGGGGTATCTTATGCTCACTTTCTTGCAGTGGTCGTGAGTTGTTCATGTCGGATGCTAGTTGGTTTGTGGATGATGTGGGGGCCTATGACAAGTATGATAGGGAAGAAGAGTCTGCTGAACTCCCAAAGGTGAATATGTTATGATCAATCCTCTGTGCTTTATATATCCTTTGTTGGATTGTTTTGAGCATTCAAGATTTTTCACTGTCCACTGGTCACTGTCATAGATCTACATTACTGCATTACCTAGGATAGCCACAATGCCGGGGACTGAGCAAATATGCTGTGTAAGAGAGCAAAGAGTAGAGCACAAAAGACAACATTACATAATGCTCTGTTAACTTTTAGAAATTCCCATGTGAGATCTTTGTAGATTGTTTTCATCATGAATTTCTTCATTGATTTCTCATCTATCTCGGGAGGAAGTCTTAGTTAGATTCACTTTCTAGTACTGTTTCTTCACATGTTCTTTTAAAAGGCACTTGTGATTTTCTTCCTTTTGGGACTTGAATGTAAAAGGTTGATGCAGTACATGGCTTCACCCTTTTGCTAAACTTTTTACAATTATGTTGTGTAAAAACTGCGCAAGATTTTTCAGAGTTAAATATTTTGAGCTAAGTGATGGGGGTTGCACTTGGCAAAGATTGGGTCTTGCATTAAAAAAATTGTTCCATTTAAAACAGTATGCAGATTAGATGGACTTCTAACTTCTAATATGCTGAATGGAGCACAAAATGGAAGACTAAAGCATCTACTTGAAAACGTTTACTTAACCAAATATCTTATTGATCATAGAAGAGGTAAATTTTGCTTGCTAGGGCGGTGGTTGGTCTATGAAAGTGTAAACATTATTAGAAAGAGAAATGATAATCTAGTTGTGTACGTATGGGTAGTTGCAGTGGTTTTCCGTTGTGAGTCAACTAAAGAAGCTACGCCAAGTAACCAATGATCCCCTGGTTTGCACGTTTGACAAAGCATGATATTGATGTAATGTGTTTGTGCTTCCTTAAAAAAAAAAAAACAAAGCGACTATTGCCATGTGCATTTGTTGTGCAGTGCTGTTAGTTACGCACAAAAGGGCCTGCATATCATTTTCTAAGTAAACTACATTTCCTTTACAGGAGAATAAGGATTCTGCTAGGGAAGAGGCAAGCTCCTCGACATCAGCCCAGAAGAATATTCATGATGGTGGTGAGGCTTCACATAAAGACCAAGTGGATGACATTTATGACGACGACGATGATGATGATGACTTTGATGTGGATGAGTTAAATGAACTGGAAGCTAGCCTTTCAAAAACATCGTTACAAATCAATGAACCTGGTAGTCGCGCTTGATCCTTGGGCCCAAAATCTATGCACATGGTATACACTTATCAGTGCATGCACTTTCATGTCTACGTGATGCAAAATCATGTTGGCGTGCAGCAGCAGATAAAATGGAATGAAATGTAAGCATATCCCTGTCGTGACGCCTTAATAATTGATCCTCTATTTTATTAGGTTTTTACCCTTATTTCTAATGAGTTGTGACTTCTTTCTTTCCAGAATTTTTGATGAATTTAACTTGTCTGGTTGTTTTGCTGTCACATAAGAGAGCTATCCTTTGTATTTTACTACTACTACTATGCTTTGAAGTGTGTTGCCTTCTCATTGCCCTTTATAATGATTCTACTACTATAGGCGTAGTAAAAAACTTTTGATCGATGCCCTTGCTTTTCCACCTCGATCTGATTCTATGTGTATATTTCCGTTACGTCTTCCATGAATTGGGATGTTGGCCTTTCAAGGTTGCATCAGTAGCAGCATCTGTTCTTCTTTCACCTAGTATCGCTTTTATCGATATCCAGTATTGTGCAGTAACTATTTTCTTGGGCTAGAATTGGTGTTTGAGTTTAACAACCCTTTTGGGTTGCTAATATGCTTTGTCATGTCAGTGTGATGGTTCTGCTGGCATTCATACTAGTTATGAAACAATTTGGTATACATACACTTAGCGTGGACATATTGTGTGCCCTTCGTCTATTTCACTAGGTACCTGCTATCTAAATTTAGTGTTAAAAGAGGTCGTTTGACATGAGGGATGGAATAACCAAAGTTTATTTGTCCCTTCAAATATATGGGTTAAGTTATCCGTCATAAAGGATAAATAATTACCAAGCACAATATAATCGTAAAATTATTGTTGGGATGAGATGTAGGCCCTCGTTATGGAACAAAGAAATGGGTGAACATAATTTAAATTCGGAAAAGGGTTTAAAATACACCGGGCTCTACTTATACCCTACACTATATTTTGGGATAAAAAAACTCCGACCAAGAATACTCTCGAGTGTTACCTACCCAAATTTGGGTTGTTAACTCTTGAAGGTATTTGCTGTTGCTTAGGATGACGGGGAGGGATTTTTGATGTCAAAATGTAATGAAGGGTATAAATAGTTTATTTCACATAGTTTTGATGTCAAAATGTAATGAAGGGTATAAATAGTGGACAATTTTGACCCTTTGTAAAATCTATAATTGAAAAGAACTAAGGGGACATGCATAGTAATTTGTCCCTTGAATGACAAAAAATTTATATTTAGTTTTGGGTAAATAATGGAAGTTAGTGATGTGTGGTCTGATTGTTTTGAGTTGATTTTTCAAATGATCACGTAATCTTAAAAGATTTTTTAAAGATTTATATGAATTTTTTTCTTTTTCAATGATAGTTTGAATATTATTCGTAATAAGTCATTAAAATAAAATAAATAAGATCAGAAGATAATTGTGTGATAAAATATTCTCTAGCAAAAACGATTCTATCGATAAAATACTCATTTTTTCTCTCTTCCATTTCCTACTATATCTATTTTGTTTTCACCAACTTTTTCATTAATCTTAACATAAAAGTATTTAGCATTATAGAATATATATCAATAAGTTCACAATTCAATGACATTTAAACATAAAATCTTATTGAGTAATTAGTGGTTATGGCCTACATTATGGAGACATAACTAATTCTTGATTCTTGTTTTCTTTTTCTCATAATTATTAATTTGATGTGAATGGAAAGCTCAACTTATCTATACTTGTTGTACCAATAAATGGTCATGATTTAAATTTCGATAAGCAAATATTATTTTTATCTTTAATCAGAATACCATAAACTTGAATCAACAATGCAAATATTCAACTAGTGAATTTTGAATATTACATAGTTAATGAAAAATAACTTCAAACATACCTGAACTTCGGCCTGTTTAACACCGAGTGAGAGAGAGAAGTGTTAATCTCTAGAAGCTTATGGAATGTTCGATTTATATATATAACCTCAATGACAACATTATATAATACATTCTTTAACTAAACAGATAACTACTAAGGTATAATATCGAAAAAGATAAAAATGAACGTGTAATAAAAGACGTACAAATAATTATACAAGCGAATTAGAAGAAGCAAAACTTAGATTTATCTTCTAAACAAAATATTCTCTATAAACTTCACAAAAAATTTGATAATCTCAACCTTAATTTTCCCTCTCTTTGGTGGAAATCTTTCTTTTTTTCCCCTTACAACAATGTCCTTCATGGCTAGTTGATAACTCAAAAAAAAATTCTAAACAAAAATGAGAGAATCTCAACCTAATAAGAAAATCTATTTTTTTTTCTTTTATTCACATATTTAGAACTAGAAGATGTGCAAGTTATTTATAGAAAAAAAAAACTAACCATAATTTGAATAATTACAAGGAAAGAAAAAGTTTCTTCAAGTCAATACATGACATGCACACGGCCTTGGGACTTTTTAACTTTATCCATTTGACTCCTATACAAACGGATCGTTAGGTTCGAAAGACAAGTTATATCAGAATTAGTTTTATATATAAAGAGATTGATAGTATATTAAAATTACTTCATATTGATTGCTTAATTTGTCGTATAATTAAAAGATGATTCAGATGACCTTAAGGGTATTTTTGTCATTTTCATTGTTTTATTCAGGAATAACTAGTCTCAAACTCTCAATACTATTGTTTTACCCTTTGATAGGATTACCTTACCCCGATGCTAATTTACTAATTTCAGTACGGTATAAATTATCCCGAGATTAGTAATCAAACAAGACTTATTTGTGTAACGATCTCAAGTTAATATTACTACTAGAATATTATTCGCGGTTCAATGTATAGCGAATCTTTTAATAAGTCAAAGTTATAAATGATCATAAATTTCTTATTCAGATCACTTACGTGTGAAAATGAAAATGTTTTTTAAATAGAATACGTAATAAAATTAAAACATAAATTTATAAAGAACTACAAAACAAATTGGCCAACCTAGAACTACTATCCACATCACCAGACAATTAAATCTTATTGAATTTTAAAATTCCATGTCCTCCATTAACAAATAAATATGTTTCTCTTTGTGAGAACAATGAAAGCTCTACTTGAGGAGAAAAGCAGACAAGGCCAAAGTAAAAAGTTTGAAGTCAATAAGGAAAGACCAATAATTTGTTAAAATTTCATATATGTGATGTAAATTCAATGTATCTCTTTCTTTTTGGGAAGTTCTAGATGTTAAAAATAGATATCAAGTTGGATTTATCTATGTGGTCATTAGTCTCGTCAACTTGTTCGTCTCCTAAATTTTATTTATAAAACTATAATGTAGAAAATAGTATTGAAAAAAGAGATGGATTTTCCGTTGTAGTATAATGCTAGGTTTTGTACAAATCTAAGCTATGAACAAAGGAAATTTATCCGCTTCGTGAAAATTCTTGATCACCAGATAGAAAAATAGAAGGGTCGAGGATTAGAACAGATAGTATGAAGTTTAAATTTTTCTTCACTCCTAGTGGTAGAACATTGGTGTTAGTTTAGAGCACATTTTTGTTCCATTATCATTACCATTATTCAATTTCATTACTACTGTTGATTCTTTTACTTCGATTATCCTAATATTTTTACTATCAATACTTTCCTCTTTTCACTATTTTTAATCATAGCTTTCTACTCGGACATTCTTTTTCAAATTATTCTATAAAATAACTTTTTTTAGCTGAGGGTCTATCGAAAACAATCTTTCTATCCCATAAAGTTAGCGGTAAGGTTTGCGCATATATCCACCTTCCACCGACTCCACTTGTGAAATTATACTAACCGGATGCATGTATTCATCTGTTCAAGCCTTTCATGAATCATGCAGTAAGCAGTTCAGTTGAAATAAATAAAAAATGAGTTCAAATGTCACAGAAATTGCAGCAGTTTTCCTCTTTTAGCAGCTAGAGGTGGTTCAAGTTAAACCAGATACTATTCACAAAAACACAACAAGCATAACAGGCAAACAATTAACATTTTCTTCATTCATACAACTTTACATACTTTATACAATTTTAAAAGAATCGATCATAATATTTTTTCCCACTTATACACGTAGCTGCATCGATCTAAAATTTAAGCGATGTTTTACATTTCAAAAGCTCATTTTGTTATAGCAAGAATGGAATAGACCAAAAGAAATGTGACTATAACAATTGCACCAACAAGAGTGAATTGTGGACTTGTCCATAGCATAAGGTTTGATTTCTCTGCTCTCTTAATAGGATCAACCTCTTCAGATAACGGATATTCAGAACGCTTAGGATTCCATGTTACGTACTTGTTTGGAGAGAATTGCGAAAAGATGTTTGAGAAGATGTTCTTCCTGCTTCGCTTCCTGAAGCTTGACCAGGCTTTGTCCCAATCAGTCGAAGATTTATCACCTACAAAAGGAAAATAATTTTAATTCATACTGAATTACCAAGTATATCAGGTGCAAGAAAGTGCAAGTGGTGCACGTTGATGATAAAATGAGAAAAGGTCGCTTAAGATGGTTTGGTGATATGTAAAGTCGTCCGAGAGATAGAGATTCATAAGTGTGGAAACTATGGTGATGGAAGGTGTTACGAGGTAGAGACCTAAATCACGTGGAATGAAGTTGCCTTGAAAGACCTACAATTCTTGGCATTACCCTAGAATATTCTAACAAGTGCAAACTTTGTTAAAATGACAACAACAACATACCTAGTGCAGTCCCACATGCGGAGGGGGGGGGGGGGGGTCTAGGAAGGGTAGAGTGTGCGCAGACCTTACCCGTACCTTGGGAGGCGGGGCGGAGAAGTTACTTCCAATAGACCGTTGGCTCAAGAAAAGACATTTCATAGCAGGTCAAACAAACTTAGCTATCCTCGTAGGAGATTTTTCACTTCTATTTTAATTATTAGTTATGATGATGACACGAGTTGAGCTTACAAGTAACAATGAGGTTTCGTATAGACAATTTCAACTTATTTGAGACTGAAGCATACTTCTTGTTGTTTAACTAACAATACTAAGATCTAAGTCCATTAGTAGAAAGAACCACTTCCTAAAAGAAGACAAGGTAATGCATTCAACTCTGTAACAATATGTCACCGCAGGTGCATATAGATGCCAGCAAATACCTCCACTTTATATAATTCTTAAGTAAATAAAACCTAGAGTTAATGGTAAAATATACACCACTTTCTTGCAAGTTTCATACCGCAACTATATGTTGTTTATCCTTATTGACAAGGATTCTCCACATTAAAATCTTGTGTCCTAGTTTCTCTTATTTTATTTTCGTTGATTACCTCAGGTTTGGTGCCCATTTT